CTGGACAGTAGAGCTGAAAGGCGGGCGGCCGGGACCGTTGGGGGCGGGGTGTGTGGCCTTATGACACACTTCCGGTGATGGCAGGGGGTGTGGCATATGCTAATGAGTTATGCTAATGAGTTCCCCTAGCTCTTTTTCTACAAAACGACCCCTGAGGGGCAGTATCAATTTGCGTGGGGAGCTGGTGTGGGTTGGGCGGGGGAGACGAAAGGTCCAGCTTCTCTGCTGGGGCCATAGCACTCATTCCACTCACCACGGTGCCCCAGCCTAGCCGGAAAGGACGGGGGGGAGGGGCACTGCATAGAAGAAGAAGCGATTGGATTTATATCCTGCCCTTCACTACCCAAGGGAGTCTCAGAGTGGCTTACAAACTCCTCCCCTCCCCCTCCCCATCACAGACAGACACCCTGTGAGGTAGGCGAGGTTGAGAGAACTCTGACAGAAACTGCTCTTTTTCAAGAACAGCTGTGCCAGAACCAGGGCCGGCTCGCTCACTAGGTGAACTAGTCATTCATCTAGAGCGTGCCGGCCCTTAGGGGCACCAAACTGCACCCCCCGCCAAAAGCCCCCCCTGCCAAAAGCCTCCTCCTCTTCCTCGCCTCCCTTCCCCCGAGCGCTGCCGCCACCGCCAGTCAGATGAAAGGCGAGCAGCATCGATCTGCCTGCCAGCAGGGGAGTCTCGCCGCGCTGCGCTGTCTGGAGTGGGCAGGCCAAGGAAGGAGGAGGCAGCAGCGGTTCCACGTGGGAGGCCCATGACTGCCGGCCACAACTAGCAAGCCGCAGCGGAGCTGGAGGCAACCTGCCCCTGCCCCCGAAAGAGGCACAGTGGCTCCCCAGCCCAACCCAGCCGGCGGCAAGGCTGCGTGAGGGAAGGGAGTGTGCTGGTGTGTCAAGCCTGGCAGGCCGGGTCCATGGGGGGGGGGAAGTGGGAACTCCGTGAGCGGAGGCCCTGGGGTGAGGTCAGGTCACCTCCAGCTCTGCTGTGGCTTGCTAGTTGCAGCCTGCAGTTGCGGGCCGCCTCCTCCTCCTCCTTTCTTGGCCCTCCCGCTCCAGATGGCGAGACTCCCCCATTGGCAGGCAGATCGATGGTCTTTAGAGGGACTCTGGCTGGCCCTTATGGCAAATAGGATGCCGGTCTCTGTGGACCTTCGGACTGACCCAGAAATTTTATGGGTTTTTTTTTTAATCTCAGTGTGAAATCCTGCACTGTAAAAGAGGAGGGGGTGTCAGTTCCTTTGGAATAAGTAGGGAAGCACTCTGTATGTGCTTCAAGATGCTGTTGCCTTGTGTTTTTAATTCTTCCTAAAATGCATTTATTTTTGAAAATTGGTGGGCGCACGGGGGGGGGGGCGCCAGAAGGGAAACTCGCCTAGGGTGCAAAATAACCTGGGGCCGACCCAGGCCAGAAATAGGGCTTGCCCCAAGGTCATCCAGCCCGGTGCAAGTGGAGGAGTGGGGTATCAAACCCGGTTCTCCCAGATTAGAGTCAGCGCACTTAACCACAACACCAGACTGGCTCTCATAGGCTTCTTGGTGGGAAGCTGTGGACTCTTGGCTTGGGGGCATCAGGGGAGGGGAGCAGGTGCAAGAGGCCCCCTTTCCCCATGTCATCCTGCCCTGCTACTCTTTCTTTAAGATGCGATGACCCAGCTGGCGGAACGCCTTGGAGGACCCTTCAACTTTGAGCTGGCCGCTGACTCCATTGGCGTGAAAATATCAGAGGGCATCATGTATCTGCAGGAGCACGGTGTACAGACATCAGCCAAGGTGGGTGCAGGGGTGGGAGGTGGGGTGGAAGACACTCCTCAGGCTTGCAGGATCACTCTGCCTTTGTCCCACCAGATGGTGGCCTCTTTCCACCCTGTGCCTGAGGCTCTTCCCTTAAAGCCACAGTTGGAGGCCGAGAATAGGGAGGGCGTGGCCTGGAGAGGCCAGAGGGTCCTGCCCTGTAGTCGTGTGCCTGTGGCCTGGCTGGGCTGGGCTGGGCGGGGGGGAAGCAGTCCAGTTCCCTGCATTTTGCTGCAAGAATCACAGTGTTCATTAAGAAACCTGGTGGTGGAAAGTGCCATCCAGTCACAGCCGACTTACGGTGACCTCTTGGGATTTTCCTGTAGAAATGGGAACTAGAACATTCAAAGATGACAAAACATTGTAGACAGTATAACGGCGAATAACAGCAATACAAGGTCCTGGTATAGTTCCATTGTTTCCACAAGAATTCTTCAGTCACTGTGAAACATAAATATGAAAGCAAAACATTCAGTGAAATACAATGGGTATCCTGTAGATGCTTACAACACTAAAAAGCAAGACACTCTGCAATGCAGTGACTCGCCTATTACAGTGAGAATGAATCAATGTTGAATGAAACAGTGTAAAAAACACTCTAAAAGCCTCCCGAGGGAATGATCTGTGGTGATAATCCCCCGGTCTCCCGTCCAGGATAATAAACTGCAAAAATTTAAGAGATAACAGATAAGGAGCACAGTGGAGCACACCATATAGTTTGAATGTAGTATATTTATCAGTGCTAAGAAAAGTATTGTCAAGGCCATTCCTTTAATCCAAGGGAACGGCCTCTAAAAGGCATTCAGTCACAGGGCGAGAATGCCAACGAAGCCAGAACAAAGTTATGACTGAAGATAAATCAAATCAGCATAATGCCCCAAGTTAGAACAGCACATTAGGCTGCACTTGGTCACATGAGCAGTAAGTCACGGCATCACCCCCCAATAGTCTGACAGCACAAGAGTTAAAAAATCACTATCATCAAGAAGGAACGCTGGGAGTTTGGTGCTTCTGGTTTCAGTCTCTCCCCCCACTCCGTTGTCCCTTCTTGTCTTTGTCCTCCAGCTTCCCAGAGCTGACAGATCAGGCTAGCCTGGTCCCCCCCACCCCCCACCCCCGGTCAGAGCGGAGCAACTTTCCAAACTACATTTAGAGCAAAGAGAATGACCACAGTAGTTCTGGCCAGTGTGTGAGAAAGAATGCTGGACTCGAGTGGCCGCGGGTTTGATCTGGCAGGGCTCTTCTTATGTACACGATGCACGATCTTTTGCTGTCTGCATTCACATATGATGTAACTTCTGTATTGTTTAATATGCTGTGTGGATACTCATGCTTTGTTTCAGTTTGTTCCCGATATTTACTTAGTTTTATTTTCAGTGATTCTAGTCCCATCACATTGCTTACTTGATGTCCCATCCTTTTGATTGTATCAGTGAGAAAGGCAGGCTAGAGAGAACATATATAAATAAATATAATAAAAATGAATAAATATAAGCATCTAATGTTCAACACTACATCTTGTGGTAGGGAGTTCCACAAATTAATTATAAGTTGTGTGAAAGAGTCAGGTTTTTTTGTCTGTTCTCGTCAGATCCTGGAAGCTAAGCAGGGTCAGCTCTGGTCGGTACTTGGATTTGTATGGGAGACGCCCAAGAAAGACCAAGGTCGCAACTCAGAGGCAGGCGATGGCAAAGCCACCCCTGAACGCCTCTTGCCTTGGGAACCCCGTGAGGGGTTGCTGTAAGTCAGCTCTAGCCACCCCCACCAGATTCACTGCCGCCGCCCCCCCCGGGGGGTCTAGTGTTCTAGGAGAGGAAGGCCAGATTCTCTCTCTCCGCTTTCCCCATCCCGCACCTCCTTCCACAGAGCTGTCTTGCAGCCCATCAGCCACACTGGGAAGCCGCACATTCCTCGGACCACCTTTGCTGGGAAGGGGCTGGACCTCCGGGATCTTTTTGCTTGCTCTTATATGACCGTGTTGGGACTCCTGGTGAATCAGGCTGAGCTGGGGCCGGCTGCCTCAGCACCTGCTTGCCCCCTGTGGCCAGCCAGGTGCCCCTCCCCCAGAGCCACAAGCTAGATGTGCTTCAGTGGCCTCCTTTGCGGCTGTTACTGCATCTGCTTGAACCCGGGGGGCACCCCCACCAGGCCCGCCTGCCTTCCTATCTGTGTAGGAGTATGCAGACACCCCCTGCCAGGTGTTTTCTACCCATAGGGGGGCACGGGGCACAGAGACCTAATGATTTCTGCCTCCGAGGGCCTGTTTTGAGCGCCCCCCGTGCATTTCCAGGAGACCCAGTTGGCACCCGTGCTTTCTTTCCAGCTGGTCTGGCACAGGCTTGCGAGGGCAAGAGCCGTTTCATTCCAAGGGTGATCTCAGGGTGGCTAGAAGGTCTGTGTGGACCTGCCTTAACTATAAGTTCTGGCCTCTCTCCCTGTGGAGGTCTTCCAGAGCTGTGGTAGCCCCCGCCCAACCCCCGCCCGCTCCCGACGTGCCCCCCGTGAAGAGACCAAGCGACGGTTCCGCACCTACTCCCCTGAGGAGAAGCCCACCACTGCGGCAGGAACCAACCTGGATCGGCTGGTAGGTACCCATCGGCTGCCGCTGCCCGTGGAAGCCCCCTTTGGCATCTGAGAAAGCAGCGCTCTTTCCAGAGGAGAGCAGGGGAGCTGCAGGGCGAAAATCCAGAGAGCTCGGAGGGAGGTCACTGAGCCCCCGCCAGGACAGGCATTTTGCTTGTGTGAATGTCCTGACTGAGGAACCCGGATCGGTGGGCTGGAAGAAGGTCCCTCCTGGCCAGGCTGGCTTCGGAGCCTCCCTGGCGGTGGCACAGGCTGGCGAGCAAAGAGGGTCCTGGCCGGTGGTGAAGGGTTAGGGTTGGACTTGGGGGCGGGGGGCCCTGGGCCGGTAGTTCTGTGAAGGAGGCAGCCCATGCCCCCAGTCCCCGGAGCAGAATGGCCAGCGACGTCAGCCTTACAGCCCGGGACTCGGGGTGGGGGTGGGCAGCACAGCCTCCCCAGGAGCGGAGCAGAAGCTCTGGGGCATGCAGATGGAGGGAGGCGTTTCGGCCAAAGGGTGGGGCCCCGTCTGGGTCCTGATGTGGGACTTGGAGGGAGGGGGTGGGGCTGCCTGGGGAGGCAGGCCTGCGTGTGAGTGGCGCTTCCATCCCCAGATCTCAGACGTGAAGGAGAAACTCCGCCTCATGCGCCGCTTCTGGGTGATGCTGCCACACACCCTCTGCAGTGACGAGAAGGTGGCGGCAGATGTGACCAATGAAGACCTGTGCTGGAACGGGCAGGCTCGGGGCAGGTATGGCTGGGGGAGGCTGGGGGGGGGCGAAGAGTTGGTTTTTTATGGCTGGGTTAGCCGGTGAGGCAACTTGTTGGCCGCCCCAGAGCTGGGTGAGCCTCTCCTTCTTCCAGCCCACTTGGGCATGGCTCATCTGCCTGCAGGCAGGGCGCCTAGCCAGAGGGCCCAGGTTGCCGGCCACAGCACTGGCCCAGGGTCTGTTCCCCCTTGATGGAGAGCTGAGCACGGCCTGTGCCTTGTGGACACACGTAGGCCCTCTCTCAGCAGCGCTGGCACGAAGGGGCAGCTCCTTTCTCTTCTCGGCTGTCCAGCCTCGCTTCTGCAGGGGTCACAGGAGAAAGCAGGCTTCCCTCCTCTGCTCTAACTACCTTATTGTGTTGTGGGTTGACCGCGTGGCTAGGCCCACTCAGCTCCAATAACATGGTGCACGCTTGACTCTTACACAACTAAGACAAAGACAAACAGCCAGGAGGCCAACTATATACATATCCAGGGGACACCCCTGGATCCCATTGGGAGGTTCGAACTTCCCTCCCCGTTTCTATTGGCTCCCCGTTGGAGAGACCAAGAGACCAGTTCCCATTGTCCACCCAGGGTCAAGCCCTGGGTACTCGCTGGCCCCTGGTGGCGGCCAGCGGACACAACATACCTGAAGAGTTTACTGTGGGGAGGTCTTGCTTCTCTGAAATGCCATTCAGTGTGCCCAGAGAAGGAACAGGGCTGGGGGGCCGGGACCCGTTACTTTCACCTGCGTGGCATATGAGAGGCAAGGGGCTCCCAGGCCCCGGAACCGAAGGGCAGTGGCAGCTGAGCCCGGAACCAAAGGCACAGCCTGTGCGTGCAGCCAGGCCAGGTGGAGAGCAGCAGTATCGTGGCTGGCGGGGGAAGTTCCTCAGCCATGCTGGCTGGTGACAGCCTCACCGCAGAGTGTTCTGGGATCAGCGGCCGCGGGGATCGTCACCACCGTTGCCTGCGTGAGGTGGTGGGTGGAGGGGGTCCCAGCCGTTGAGCCCTGGGCTGCCCGGGAACCTTCCTTGGGACTCCTGTTTCCCGCCAGGAGAGTGTGTGGCTCCTTTGGGTTTGGTGGGGGCTGTTTGCACGTGGAGACGGTCCATTCATCTACCCATCCATTCGTTTGAGCTGTACCCTGCCCTCCCCGCAAAGCAGGCTCAGGGCAGCTCACAGTCAATACATAAATAACAATTAAAATCCACATAAAACCGTCAAAAACAGTTCAAGTTATAACTAATACGAATTCATAAAGTGCTGGTGATGATTCATTAGTTGTTTGAGATGGCTGACTTCAAGCGTATACACAGAGGTCTAACCATCATTCTGCTCATGGTCTTCCTGATACAAGGGCAGCACCGGCTAGATGTCAAAACCAAGGGCCAGGACTCTCTAGTGGTGGAAGAGCTCCGTCTTGCAGGCCCTGCGGAACTGCAAGAGATCCCGCAGGGCCCTGATCTCCTCCAGGAGCTCATTCCACCAGTATGCGTAGCACTTGTCGCTCCTGTGAGTGAAGAGGCATTTGCAGTGGCTGTGTAGTATCCACCCAGTACCTTCCCTGTGTTTCCCTTGCCTCGGAGCTGGGGCCCCCCCCAGCCACCGTTTCCTCCTGCTCCACTGGAGGGCTTTAAAAATATTTCTTGAATCCCTGGGCTGCTATAGTGTTGCAAGACTCCATTGCCTCCAGCTGCTCATTCCCAGCTTTCCTCCCTTGTTTTCTTTTTTAGGAAGGCTGCCTCCAGCCCTTTTGGTTGTTTCCTCTTATATCTCCACAACAGCAGTAAGTGCTAGGGCCTGGTTTTTAAAAAGAAAAGAGATTTAAGGTGGAAACAAGTGGAACCTGGCAATAGACGCCTGTAAGTCATGTGGCACCATTCCCAGTTTCTTTTCAGAAGGCCTCTGGAAGCCTTCTGGTGAGTCGGGGAGATGGCAGCCATGGGGGTGGGGCAAGGGAAGTGAGACCGGCATGGATAGAAGCGACCGGAGTGCATCCCTTCCGATCTAGAGAGTTCTCAAAGGTGGTTTATTTATTTGCAATTCAACCACAGCTTTTCCAAGAAGACCTTGCCAAACCGGGTTTGTGAAAGTTCTCAGCAAAGTCAGGGGAAGACACAGAAGCAGGGCTGGCAGAGGGCAGAGGGCTGCTCCCAAAAATAACGCTGCTGCTAAAGGCAGCCAAGATGGACAGAAACATCCGGTGTGGAGATGGTCAAGGTCGGGTGCTGCTGACCATTAATTTTTGTCATGACTCAGGACTCAAAAGTTTCTTCTTAATTGTACTTCCTTTTGAGCGCAGACTAAACATAATGACTGGGGGCATTTTTAAAGAAAACAACATGGACCATTTTATGTATGGACCCGAGTATGTATTTTATTTTATTAGAAGTGTCTCTAATTTCAGAATCTTTCCCCCAGCTGCCCTGTGAGGCAGGAGCGGAGCTCTGGACCATTTGCATCTTTCTCTTGGGAGCGCAAAATTACTTCTCCTAGCCTGCGGAGAGAGGAGGAATCATTGTTAATATTTATGTAAAGAAAAGGTGCTTTGGGTCACTTTTAAAAAATAGATCTTGGAATGTGAGATGTAAGATTGTATGCCGTTCAACAAGGAACAAATAACTGGCAACAGACACTTGAATTCTGCTTTATAGCAGAGTCCAAATGCCAGAGTGTCTTCCTCTCACTTTCCTAGTAAAGATAAATTTGCTAGTGATACTTGTGGACATGTGATGCCACAGATGGGTCATTAGTATATTTTCATGGAGGGTTGATCAGGCTTGTCTTCTGATCAATATTTGCACCTCTTCCCCCCCCCCCCCGGTGTTTGACTGCTATTTGTCTCTGGGGTGACGCAGGTATCTCCCAGATGTGACAGGCGATGGGTTGGTGAACCAGATCAACAATCCGGAGGTGGAGGTGGACATTTCGCAGCCTGACCTACCCACCCGGCAGCATCTCCTGGCCCTGCGCAGTGCCACCTCTCACCTGGTAGGGGCCTGCAATGGGCAAGACGTGGACTTCCAAGATGCAGGTGAGTCTCCACCTCTGCAAAGGCATTTATGTCTCCTCCAGCTCCCCGGGCGGGCAGGGTGTGGCGGATTCTTCCACCAGGGCAAAACAGAACTGGGGCAGCTTTGTACTTCTGAGTTAGAATTATGCCTGGCTGGAGGAGAAGACACCACTGCTGCTGGCAGGATGTCAGTGCTAGAGACGGCTGGGTCAAATTGGGAAGGGGGAATCAGCTCCTGTCTGGCCTTCTGGACTCCTGGGAGCCCCCGTGGCTGCCTGGCTCACTGGAATGCCCCGGGCTTCCTAGCCCCACCCCATCTAGCCAGCAGCACCCAACCAAGCCCAGCCAGGATGCCCAGGAGAAAAGGCCTGGTGCGTGGGGGCATCACGCTTGCTGCAAAGTGCCTTCACCCAAAGAAGAGAGGGGGCATTCTTCCCAGGTAAATGAACGGCTGCCCTCTTGCTCCCCCCCCCCAATCCCTTTTGTAGGCTGTGGCAGAACGTTCCTACTCTGGCCTGTAGGCCCTCCTGGGGGTTCCCAACTCCCTGGAAGGGTTTTTCCTTTTACTCTTGAGTAGCTGCTACCACCACCTGGTTAATTTAGGGATTTCCCATTTGGAGGATCAGGACCCCCCACCCCCTCTTCTCAGTTCTGAGGCCTTTCCTCTGTGTCTCCTGCTTGCCCGATGCCTGGCTACCACAGGGACAGTTTAATACTTTGGTTGCCCTTGGAGGAATAGCCACCTGCCAACCCCATTGGAGACCCTTTTAAAATAGTGTGTCCAAAACAGTGGAGGTCTATATTGTGTAGAGAACCACTCCCAGCATCAACAGTTTAAATGTCTACAAGCATAATTTTAGCACAATGCCAGATCTGAACAAGAAGACAAAAGAAATTGGTGAAAATGCACATCCTCTGTCCCTTCTCTATATGTGCCCTAGGTGATGGTAAAACCTAAGACAGGCTCTTTAGCTTAGCTAGTTACAGGCCTCTACAAAGTTGCCATTACCTCAAAGCATCCTTCAGGCTGACCAAATGATAAGTGGCCGCGTGCTCAGAGGAGAGTCTCTGTGTGTCCTCTCAGGAAAGCAGCATCTCAAAGAAAGAGACCACCTTCTTCTTGCAAGGAGACTTTATTGTGTCTGTTTTCCCCTCCCACTTGACCCGGTCAGGCTAGGTCAGAGAAGCATTTCCTCCACCCCCTTCCTGGAGAATGTTCCTGGAGACTATCTAGCATTCTAGTCTCCCAAATCTATTACTTGCTTGGAGAAAGGGGGTGAACTGACCCATCCCATTGTCTCTCTTGCTAGATCTATTAGCATATCTTAAGAGATGCATCTGGAAGGTGATGGGCTAATTTCCTCCCCTCTCCTGCTTGTTCTTAGCTCAGAGAGAAAAAATGGTTAAAATGCACAGTGAAGCCCTGCTCCCAGAAGACGCCCAGGCCAGAATTGCTTCTTCCTGGGATGGCTGTTCAAAGTGCCCAGGTGGCCCAGGGAGGGGTTGGGAAGGGGCTGAGTTTCTGTTCAACCCCCAATACTGATGCTTTTCTCCCCTCCCCCTCCCATTTTCTCTTCTAGATGAGGACGGGGGCAGTGGGTCGGGTGCAGGCTACCATGAAGATCGACCAGCCCCAGGGGCAGGGAGAGGGGTTGTGGGGGGAGTCTCGTCGGGCTCACACCCTCCTGCTGACACCCACTCTCCCCATTCCGGAAAGGGCTCCTCTTCCTCATCCCAGCACAGCCAGAGCAGTGGGGCCCGGCCCACGCCCCCCTCTGAGGATGCTTTGCCTGCTCGGGCCGCCCTGGCCCTCCTGTGTCTGCTGGCCCTCCTGGGTGGATGGTGACCCACAGATGTTTGGCTGATTTCTGATGGTGTTAGCCTCTTCCATCAGGAGGGGACTATCCCTCTCCATCGGCTGCTCATGGGGAAGTTGTGTGTGGCAGCTTCCTCTCCTCCGGGGGTGGGGAGGATTCAGTTCAGGGCAATGGAAATGAAAGGGACCACCGATGGGGACGTTTTGATTGTTCTCGCTTCCTAGGGTCTATCCGGGAGCTAGAGAAAAGTTTCAAGGTTGGGGTGTTTTGCCCCCCTAGAGCAAGAAATTATTTTCAGGGACGTGTGTGAGGTGGAGGGGGGGGCTTTCACTTTTTTAATACAATGAGCTTTTTTCCTTTTTTTTTTTTTTTTTGCCAGGAAGGGTCGTCTCAATTATTTAATTTAGTGTGTGGTGGTGGTGGGGGTCAGTGTGTCAGCTGCCGGGTCTTCCACCTGTGAGGGTCCTCCACGGAGTCTGACGGGAAATGCTGGCTGCTCTCACAGGCGCTAGCAGAGACTCCTTAGAGGGTGGGGCAGGGAGGGGGCTGATAGATTTCTGAGGCTCAGGTGTGACATAGCTGGAGATGTTTGGACAGGAAACCAGCTCAACATGGTTGCCAACTCTGGCTTGGGAAACTCCTGGAGATTGGGGGGCGCAGACTGGGGGAAATGGACTCTGGGGTGGGGAGGGGATTCATCAGGGACGGGATACCACAAAGCCTGCCGCCCAAAGGCACTGTTCCCTCTAGGCAAACCATATCTGTAGTCTGGAGATCAGTGGTAATTCTGGGAGATCTCTGGGCCCCACCTGGAGGTTGGCAACATTCCCCCTCCCCAGACTGGCTGCTGCTTATTTCCATATGAAAGATGTTGTGTCTGCAGCAGCCTTTTCAGCACAAGGAAGGAGGGAGGAATCTCTGAGGGGCCTTTTCTTCCAAAACAATGAACCTGCTTTCTCAGCAGTGCTGCTTTCTGGATTTCCCCCTTAAGCTGTGGAATAAAATGTTTAATTTATTGATTTATTAATTTCAGATTGTTTCCTTGAATTTGGGGAGGGAGGGAAGGGGGAGAACAGAAAAGACCCTGCCCTCTCCTCACTTTGCTTTCTTCGGGAACAGTGGGAGTCCCAAGTGCCTTCAGAGTCCAGCTGGGAATGTGGCTGTGCTTGGCTTGGTGGCAGAGAGCGTCCCTCCACGGGAAGGATGCTGTGAGTCTTCATGTTCCAGCAGCTGCTCTGCAGGATGAGGAAGGAACTCCACTAGTGTCTCTTGTGGCTACCTCTCCCCAGGCCCGTAGCCGGGATTTTTTTTAGTTTGGGGGCCTTTAACTTTCTTAAAGGGGGGGCACTGGCTAATCAAATTAAAGGAATACCCAGGTCCTTCCCTGCCTCTGCCACCACTTGGGGGCCCTGGGCTGGGTGGGAAGTCAGGGGGCCTTGCCAGTGAGTCAGGGGGCCTAGCCCCAAGATGCCCCACTGCAGCTACGGGCCTGCCTCCCCCTGAGACTGGGAAGGGCTTGACCCTTGTATTTGAGAGAAGAGCAGGGGTCAGCTGCAGCTGTGGCCAGCTTGACTGTGGGGATCTTCTCCCCCCCCATCCCAGCCTAAAATGGAGGGAGAGCCATCTCAGAAACAGGATAACAAATAAATCAATGGGGCTGTGAGAGGGGTTCATCTGATCTCCCTCTTGGGAGGAGAATAGGAGGACCTCCACCCCTGGCTTGCTGGCTGAAGGCTTAGTATGTGAACCCACACACACACACACACACGAATCAGACCCCCCCCCCCAGTCCATCAAGGTCAGTCTTGTCTACTCAAGATTAGCAGTGGCTCTCCAGGTCTCAGGTTAGAGGTCATTCGTGTCACTTAAGAGCTGATCCTGTTCTGGGGACCTTCTGCATGCTAAGCTGGTGGTCTGCCTCTTACCCTGCTGGCTTGGGCAGCCAGGATCCTCTCAGGCTGCTTGGGGCCTGGACCTCATGGCTCAGAAGCCAAAGAGGGGAGTGTGGAGGCCCCTCCTGCAATCAAGTCCTTTTAGCAGTGGGGGATGGTGCAGCCTGAAGAGGCAGATGTTGGGGCTTTTCTGGTCAAAAGAAAAGGGCCCAGCCTGGAAGCCGCAAGCTCTGCCTTGTTGGAGCTCAGCTGGTGCTGGGAGACCCTCTCCTCCCTCCCTCCCTCCCTCC